CTGATCCAGGAACAGCTGCAGCTGATGCACTAACCAAAGCTGTACAAAGGCTTTCCTAGGCTTTCCTGAGCAGAGGTCGTGAGTCCAAGAGAACCCCTAAGTTGCTAACCGGTTCTGGACATGATAAAAATGTCAAAGACATGCATCTTGAAGCTCCATGCACCCAAAGTCACTCGTTCTTGCCAGGGTTTAGTCATAATCCATTGCCCTCCGTCCAGGCCCCTACAGCTTCTAGACACCTGAGAGGGTTGTGACAGCATAGAAGGATTTTATCTTCTATTCCTTACCAGTTAGTCAGAATTCAAGAAACTTCTTGTATGAGAAGTGAAGGGGGGGGGGAAATGAAGTCTAGTTGCCTTTTGAAAAGTATCTTTGGGACAACCATGTCCTGGATGACTGAGAATCTCCATAAACATTCAGCATATTGATGATATTTTGACCCATGGTGACAGATGATCTTACCCAGTGGCTTCATGTAGATGTTAAATAGGAGTGGAAAGAGTACCCAGCCCTGTGGTATGCTGTAAGAGAGTGGCTAGAGAATAGATCTCTCACTCCCTATCAATACCAACAGCCTTGGAAAAAGAAGCTAATCTAGCGCAGAACTGTGCACTCAGTCCAAAGTTCATAGTTGTCCCCAAATGATACCAAGTTCAATGGTATTGAAGGCTTCTGAGAAGTCAAGGAGAGCCAGGATGGTTGCAATGCCTCCAAACCATCTTACCAGATTTTGTATGACCTCAGATTTTTTCTATTTTTTTTAATGTCATTTAGAAATTATTTCCATTTCAGATTTACACAGAATGTAAATACTGATGTTAACCTGATCTTGGCTTAGAAATAACACTCATTAAGAACCACTTCAACTACAATAAGCAAAAACTGACTCTGATTCATATTTTTAACAATAATGAAAAACGTTCTTGCTTCTTCTCTCCTGTGTATGTCAATTGTTCTCCAATTATTCCTCCAAGTTATTCCCATATTTCCTTTTCTTCCTTTAGCCCTATAGCATATGCAGTAGCCATTGTGTGTGAAAGGCAGAAGAGTAGGAGAGTTTAATCTTCCCTCTACTGTCTAGCTACTTTTGCTAATTGGGGAATTGAATGCATTCCACTATTGGGAAAATCCTTTGTCTTTATTTTACTGTTTATAATTGTAAGAGGAGCACCCCTTGCTCTTTTCTATGTAGTATCACTATTATAAAATGAAAACAGCAATCGCCAAACTATGGGCTTTATGAAATCCTGCATATGCAATTATGCAAAAAAATATGGCCATCCTTCTCTGAAAAGAGAAAGAAAGAATGTATGTTGTACTGAAGGAGGATATAGGCAGCTAATGGACTAATGTAATGGACCAATTTGGAATTTTAAAAAATATTTTCCTTAATTTTGCCCAACTATAATTATTTCTTTGTCATTAATTGTTATTCACTTTGTTGTTTAGGTGAGAAATCCTGTCCTTCTCCTTAGTGAAACCTTGCCTAAGACAGCTAAAGAGATGATTGAAAATCTTATTGAAGAAGCAGGAATTATCAGTGAGAAAATTTTAAATTATGCAAATTACCAGCATGTGCTTGATGGTGCCATTGGTGACATGAAATCATTGTCTGTAGAAAAGCTGTCTCACAGAAGTCAGGCTGGAGATTCTCAGAGAGTGAATGCTGAACTCTCAGAAATTGAAAGTGAACTGCAGTTACGTAAATTGTTATGGGACTCGCATGAAGATTGGGCAAAACTTATCTTTAAATGGAAACACACAATCTTTTGGAATCTTGATGTAGATATAATTCAAAGTGAGGTTAACAGATTCATGCAGAGAATTCATATTCTTGAAAAAGGTAAAATGTTTGATAATTGCAATAATTATGAATTAATTGAAACAAAACATTTTATGAAAATTATTTTGAAATTAAGTAATAACCAATGTTGTTTTAGCCAAATGGTGAAACATTATTAAAGGAAGTCTATCTTTTCTGTTTTTAATTTGAGATATTTTTTTTTTTAAAAATTAAGTTTTTATTATTTTTTAATACAATTCAACAGTGCTTATTCAACAAAGGTGCTGTCTGAGTTCATCATTCACTAATACAAATTAAATTCCTAATCCCTAGTTCGTTTCTCCAACCATTGTTAAAATAAGTCCCAAGTTTGAAAATATTCTGTTTCTTCTTTTTCTTTCAATCTCAAAGTAAATCTGTCCATTTCTGCACAGTCTATTTCTTCCTCTGATAGTGTTTCTTCATTTTTCCAATATTGTGCAAATATAGGTCTTGCTGCTGTTGTCACATGCAGAATCAAATATATACTTTATATATTACAACTCAGGTAAGTTGTTTAGCTTGTCATCACTCCTGGAGTCAGAAGGCTAGATCCCTTGAAGCCTAGAACCTGGAAGCCATAACTGGAAGCACTGCCCAGAAAAATTTACAGCAAGGAATGAATAGTATTGTAGGACAAAATAAAGGCAGGCAGATATTGAGGTGTTTGTAATCAGAGTACTCTAAATACAAGAACTAGTTGGCTCTGGTTTGAAGAGGGAACCAGTGAGTAGCCATGCACTATAAAAAAAGAAGAATGAGAATAGTATGGAAGGCTCAGAACAGCCTGAACAATACTGTTTTAGGATCAAGGGATCAAGATAGAAATAGGGAACATCTGCCAGAAGACTATTCCGTAATCCAGGTATGAAACAACAAAGGCATATACCAATGAAGCTGCTGTATCGTCTGTCATAAATCCAAAGATCCTATAAAATTTCATCAAATGAAAATTAGGGACCATTGCTATAATATCAGTAATTGGCCACAGAGTCAACTGATCATCTACCAAAATCTGAGGCTGAAACAAAGGAAATAGGGGTAAGCTAGAAGGCCTGGAAGATAATTAGGGACATACTACAAGGATAGGAAGAATGAGCAAGCCAAAATAATTATCTCAATCTTATTCATATTTAACTTTAAGTGATGGGAGGACACCCCAGACAAAATACTAATTAAACATTCCTTTATGACTGAACACACAATATCATCAAGGATTACAAATAATTTATAGAACTGGAATAACAATGACACCAAAAACTCTGAATCAAAACATTCAAGGAAAGAATATAAAAAATACTGGGACTGTTCTTTGAAAGAACCTATTATAAAGGAAAATTTCCGTAATCAATAGTAATATATTAATACGTTCAGTATTTAAAACAATAGGAAGACAAAAAAGATTTGAATCAGTCAAATGCACAGTGAATGTTTTGTGGTGGGGAGAGGGAACAGATTGTCACCTAGACAGCAATATCAAGAGTATCAGTGGCTTCAATTGTTAGATATTTTTAGCTGGGAGAAAATGAGGCTGTAAAGAGACACTATGCCTTTCTTCAAGTATCTAAGGGATGCCTTGTAGAAATTGGCAGAATTGACAAGAATTGTTCTAGAAAATTGGCCAAGAAATAATGGGTTTAAATTACAAGTAGATTTGATTGCACATTAGGGCCACCTCATAAGAGGTGGATTTTCTATCTTTGAAAATGCATAAACAGAATCTGGATGGTTGGTCGTGTTGCGCTAGTGTATTCCTGTACTGAGAAAGGACATAAACAGAGTAGTTAATCTCCAAAGGTTCTTCCAAATCTGACATTCTGTGAGTCTATAATTTCAAGGAGAGGTCTGTCAAAAATTCAAAACAATCTTATGTAAAGAAAGATCGACAAAAGCTCAGATTTCAAACATTTTATGAAAAGTGTTCTGATGTAACTTTTTCATATTTGAAGGCTTGCCAGAAAATACTATTTTACCCATTATGAAGAAATCATTATTGGATTTTAAGGAATCATTGCCTATAATCATATCTTTAAGGAATCCTAGTCTTCAACGAAGGCATTGGGAAATAATACAGAATATTGTTGGAGAGTCAATTTCTTGGGATAAAAGACTTACTCTGGAGAAGATCCTGGAACTCAGTGTAATTTTATGATTTATAATTTAGAAATACCACTTCTAAAAACATGTGCTTATTTTTGTTATTTGGCTTATGTCTTATTTTTTGTAGTTTGAAATGAACATTTTTTTAGATTTTCCATTTAATGTACAGTACTTTCTCCATGTTTTATTAATTTTTATCAATTTGAGTTTTGAGTGAATTCTTTCCATTTTTTAAGGAAGTGATGCATGCTGACCTTATACATGGGGAATCTGTCTTTCTTATATTAGACTTTTATACATTTTTGGATACTATGTGTAATCTCAAATAGGTCTTGAGGGATTTCCACATTCCCTTTTCCATATTCTCAGATTATTGTTCACCCACCCCAAAAAAAGAATTTAAGATTATGACATCTTTTTAAAAACTGTTTATATATATATATATATATATATATATATATATATATTATATATAGGTATGTCTTTTATGTTATTTTTAATATATATATATATATATATGTGTGTGTGTGTGTGTGTGTGTGTGTGTGTGTGTGTAGGTCTTTGGTTATTTGGGTTTTCTCCCGCGTAAAATTGGAAGTGTCTTGGCGACGTTTCGACGTTTCGACGAAGTCCCATTCGTCATCTTCAGGCTGGTGTCTTCAGCTTCGTGCTTTTAGAAACTACTCCTAGAAGCACGAAGCTGAAGACACCAGCCTGAAGATGACGAATGGGACTTCGTCGAAACGTCGCCAAGACACTTCCAATTTTAATTTCTGCTATTGGAGAAGAATGTAAGCTGGCAAGCTTCTTCCAGTGCTTTTTTCCATGCTGTGATACAATTGTTTTTGATAAAATTTATAATATGTACAATTGTTTTTGATAAAATTTATAATATGCTACAATTGTTTTTGATAAAATTTATAATATGCTAAAATATCTGGCCCTTGATCTTTTGCATCGCTGTAGAAAATATTTGCATAGTTGGGATGCGCAATGCATTGGATCTGAAAGCAAAAAGTGCTTTAGATTGCACAGGAATGTAAATATAGCATACATCTACTACTCCCAAAAACAAATACATATTTTTCTGGGATCAAATGGCAGATCTGGAAGATTAGTTGCATGACCCTAGGAAAAGGGATGACTGCTCTGAATTGCAGATATTTATTTATTTATTGCATTTATATGCTGCCCATTTAACTGTCAAGTAACTCTTGTTATGTTTGTGCCTCCACGCATTACAAAGCATCTTTTTGCCTATGAATTAAGAGTGTGTACAGTTCCTCTAGAGAGCACAACAGTGACAAAGTAAGCAGTGATCATGTGCTTATTTTCTACAAGACATGATTAATGTGTATAATGGATGGTTCTGCATTTTCACATTTTTATGAAAAATCACATTTGCTGAATATGCAACTTAATTATTTATATAATTTGTTTTGTTTATCAGCATACATTAGTAAATCTCCTATTTCTTTCTTTAGATGTTTCAGTATAGAAAAGATATTAATGAAATATCCATAAGAGCTTCCAAAGAAACAACTCTTGAAGTAATGTTGAAAAAAATCATTAGCCTTTGGCAGAAAACTGATTTCCACTTATGTCCCTATTACACTGAAACATCTAGTATTTGTATTATTTCATCTGTGGAAGATGTAACTACTCTGTTAGAAGAGTCTCTGATGACAATTTCAACCATTAAAAGTTCTTGTTTTGTTGAACCAATTAAGGTAATCATTCCTTGGGGATGTTGTGAAATAGTCTGAATATGGAGATGCTCAATTATTACATGTAGTTGGTTCCCATTTGGAATGTCTGAGAAAAATCAAAAATAACTTATTTTTTAAAATAGGTATAGTTTTAAATTTTCCTGTTTTACCTATAATAGTGGTTTAAATTATCAAATTTAAAATATAAAACAAGAGGAGATTCTTTGCCTGCCTCAGATGATAATTATTTTGCATTTTTTATGGTAGAATCTTGTTCGTGCTTGGGATCATAAGTTAAACCTCATTTCCTGTACTCTGGAGGAATGGTTAACTTGTCAGAGACACTGGATTTACCTTGAGCCAATCTTTCAGGCTTCAGAAATAAAAAGGTATGCTTAAGTGCTTTGGTAATTAAATGTTAATATTATAGCCAAAATAAAATACAAATCAAATACATATTAAAATAGTAAACATTAGCTGTAGATCAGCAGTTTTCATTTCTGTGCTGCAAAAAGTCCACATCTGTGTTGCATCAATGAGCCACAAATAAATGACAGGAAATGCTGCACAGCCACAGAGCCAGAATTTTTCTTCAATGATATCATCAGGGATGGACTGCCTCCATTTCTTCTTCTGAATCCAATAACCTGTCCTATGACATTACGTGATTTCCCCATGGGACACCATGGGAGTTCTGGAAGTCCCTATGAGATGTGTGACTGCTCAAGTTAGCATTTTCTCAGTGTGCTGTTAGATGAAAAGGCTTGGAAACCACTGCTGCAGATAGTTGTGCTGTAGGCAATGGTTTAGAATGCAATAAATTACATTACTAATGTTTCCTCATTTATTTAATATAATTTATATACGAGGGCAATTTGGAAATAAACCTCTGTTTGATTATCAATGACAGACACTTTTTATTATACACATTAAAAAACTACAACATTACCTTACCTTTTGACATAATCACCATTCAAATTGTGGCACGTCATAATGTCTTACAAGGTTTGAAATTCCTTAGTAGTAGTAGTCACTCATTGCCAAATGTGGGCTATAAGGGGGGTGATCAAAAACATCCCAACGGAACTGCTTCAAAAGTTCTTGGGTGCATCTAGAGGTGTGTGGGTGAGCATTATCATGAACCAACACCACACCAGAAGTCAGCATGCCCCAACTGACTTGTCTGAGTTTTCATAATGTTTCACAGTAGACTTCTGAATTGATGATCGAACCACAGTCCATGAACTTCACTAGCAGTACTCCTTTGGCATCTTCACATTTGGCAGGATTTTCTATGTCACCACTTCCGTTGAGGTATTGGTTCACGATAATGCTTGCCTGCACACCACTAGACGTGCCCAAGAACTTTTGAAGCAGTTCCGTTGGGATATTTTTGATCACTCCCCCATAGCCCAGATTTGTCACCGAGCACTACTACTAAGGAATTTCAAACCTTGTAAGATGTTATGACAAGTGCCTGAATTTGAATGGCGATTATGTTGAAAAGTAATATAATGTTGTAGTTTTCTAATATGTATAATAAAAGTTCTGTATCTGCGAGTGTCTGCCGTTGATAACCAAACGGAGGTTTATTTCCAAATTGCCCTTGTAGCTGCTCATTTCCCCAAGGTATTCTTCGTGATGTACAAAGATTAAAATAAAAGGAATAATAATATAATTTATTAAACAATATAACAATACATGTCATTAGTAGTTATGTAAAATAATTTCATGAAAATAAGTTGACAGATGAAAAGATATTTACTATACTAACAATGTGCAAATAATTTTGAATTCAAAGCAGTTCTGTTTGAAATAGGCTATTTTGTCCTTACTGAAATAGTGTAAAATTCAGTAATCTTCAGGTGATGTTGGAATATCCCAATTTGACCTTGAAACAACTGCTTTGAGTTCAAAATAGTTTGCATACTGTTAATATATACCAGTATGTATTTCTGTAATAACGATTCTGAATTTTTAAAAAGCATTTAAATAGTACATAAATGAACAGTGTTGTTATACATAAACTACCTCTAGTAGCATTCATTTATTATATCTCTAATTTGACCAATAACCAATGTTTTCTGGAGAAATTAGGGAGTTACTTTAAACATTAAAATAATTTAAATATAAAAATAATACAAGGGATCCCAAATGATGAGTCATGAATATTTTTGTGGAAGTGGGATCACACTCATTCCTACTTTTGCTAAACTACTTGTGCTGGACCAGACCATGCGTAGAATCCAGGTTCTGAGCATACAATAGTAAGTTCTTGCAACAATACAAATCCACTTTTGAGCACCATCCAAGGCAAATCAGAAAGGATCAAAGGATCCTTATCCTTTTTTCCAGGAGCAGCTTTTTCTAAGGAACATCTCATTGGGTCCCGGTGCTTAGGATCTATGCTTGAGCACTGTGCTGCTGCCACTTCTTACAGGAGGAGTATGCATGTGCACATGTTTCTGCATATATGGAAAAGTGTTATGCACAAAGCACAGACACTTGTTCATTACTTAGCTGTACTTCTAGATCAGGAATTCCAGGAAAACCTGTCATTTTTGTGCTCTGTCATTTTTAAATGACAGGTTCTATGGCCTAAAAAGTTTGAAAATTCTGCTGTAGGGTAATTACCCATGTTAGATATTGTTTGATTACTTTTATCTTTATCTTTTATTGTTTGATTACCTTACTTTTTTCACCATTGATTTTCATTTTGTTAGATAGCGCCCAGTGTTCAAGTCTGTCCAGATCCTCCTGTATCCTAAGCCTGTCTTCTGGAGTGTTGGCTATTCCTGCCAGCTTGGTGTCATCAAATTTGCAGACAACACCAAGCTGGCAGGAATAGCCAACACTCCAGAAGACAGGCTTAGGATACAGGAGGATCTGGACAGACTTGAACACTGGGCGCTATCTAACAAAATGAAATTCAATGGTGAAAAAAGTAAGGTTCTACATTTAGACAAGAAAAACCAAATGTACAGGTATAATATAGGGGGTACCTTGCTCAATAGTAGTAACTGTAAGAGGGATCTCGGAGTCCTAGTGGACAATTATTTAAATATGAGCCAGCAGTGTGCTGCAGCTGCCAAAAAAGCCAACACAGTGCTAGGCTGCATTAACAGAGGGATAGAATCAAGATCACATGAAGTATTAATACCACTTTACAATGCCTTGGTAAGGCCACACTTGGAATACTGCATCCAGTTTTGGTCACCACGATGTAAAAAAGATGTTGAGACTCTAGAAAGAGTACAGAGAAGAGCAAGAAAGATGATTAGGGGACTGGAGGCTAAAACATATAAGGAACGGTTGCTGGAATTGGGTATATCTAGTTTAATGAAGAGAAGGACGAGGGGGGACATGATAGCAGTTTTCCAATATCTCAGGGGCTGCCACAAAGAAGAGGGAGTCAAGCTATTTTCCAAAGCGCCTGAAGGCAGGACAAGAAGCAATGGATGGAAACTGATCAAGGAGAGAAGCAAGCTAGAACTAAGGAGAAACTTCCTGACAGTTAGAACAATTAGCCAGTGGAACCTGCTTTCAGAAGCGGTGAATGCTCCAACACTGGAAGTTTTTAAGAAGAAACTAGACAGCCATTTGTCCGAAATGGTATAGGGTTATCTGCCTGAGCAGGGGGTTGGACTAGATGACCTCCAAGGTCCCTTCCAGCTTTACTACTACTACTACAATTAGCCAGTGGAACCTGCTTTCAGAAGCGGTGAATGCTCCAACACTGGAAGTTTTTAAGAAGAAACTAGACAGCCATTTGTCCGAAATGGTATAGGGTTATCTGCCTGAGCAGGGGGTTGGACTTGATGACCTCCAAGGTCCCTTCCAACATTATTATTATTATTATTATTATTATTATTATTATTATTATTATTATTATTATTATTATTATTATTATTATTATTATTATTATTATTATTGTTATATAAATAATTTAGTATTCTTTTTTTTCAGATGTGATATTGCATGCACATTACTATTGCTATTTTTTTCTTTCTAAGTTACCTTTGGCTGGGGAAAAGTAGCATAAAATTTTTGCTTCTTTGTCTATATGGCTTAATGCATTAACACATTTTTTCTAAATCTAAATTTGGGGGATTAGATGGTTTTTACTAAGTGTGTATGTGAATATACATATTTATATGATTTAATAATAGACAACTTCCAGGAGAAGCCAGTCTCTTCTCTGTAGTTGATAACAAATGGAAAGAAATCATGAAATTTGCAGCAGAGACTCCAAATGTTCTTAAGGCAACTACAACAAGTGGAATTTTTGAAATACTGCAAAGCAACAATGCATCACTAGAAAAAATACAGAAGGCTCTTGAGGTAAGTCAAAGTATCTCTAATGTCTGGCAAGGAATCAGCATGAACCACAATGAATAACATTTTGTAAGCAGGAAAAGGCAGGAAGCATAGACTAGCTTCTGTACCCGATACAAAGCATTCTGTTGTTGTTGTAGGAACTATAGCTTTATTCCTCTTGCAAAGAGAAATGGATAGGAATTGGGATGCAACTTTTAAAACTGGCCTCTTTTCCTTAGGTCATGTCCATAGACAAGTTTATTATATACCGATAAAAACCTGTCAGTCTGCCTATCTCTTTAGTGTTGGCAATTGCTTTCAGAATAAAATAGAAAAAAAAATGCAGATGAGCACAATACTGTAAATAATGCCACTGATATAATTAGTAACGTATTAAATATTAAATGTCTTCCAGAAGAATTAGTTTAACTTAAATTAGCTTCTGATTATATTTTATCTTGAAATCAATAATTCCAAGATGCATTTGAGTACTTTTTAGAAAGAAGAATAGCATTATAAAATTCAGACATCTGTGAAATTCAGAGAAATATTAGGCTTTAATTCACACATTCATAAAAATTATATGGGTCAGGGTATTCTGGATTTCACAAATTTTAGATTTCTAAAGTACTTCAATGTTTCCAAATTAAATAATGACCCTGTTCAGTTTTTTATATTGCTATGAGAAAGTTAAGAACTAGTAGACGAATAACAGTTTTATTATTTATTTATTTATTTATTAATTACATTTATATCCCGCCCTTCTCCTTACGGACTCAGGGCGGCTAACAATCAGATAAAAAACACACACATTATACACCTATTAAAATTGATTAAAAAGAAATATTTAAACTCGTCAAATTTAAAAATAAATAAAACCCCTTTAAAATCCCTTAGGCCAGTCCCGCAAGCTGGAACA